CTGGAGCCAGGTTTGGGGTTTATGGGATGCTGGAATAGAGTTTTTGGGTGTTGCAGGGCTGTGGAGCAGGACTTTGGGATGCTGGAGGGCCATACAGTCTTGGGGTGCTGGAGGGGGGACCTGGAGCTAGATTTTGGGTGTTCTGAGGGAGCTTGAGCAGAGTTTTGGGGTGCTGCAGGGGGTGTGGAGCAGGGCTTTGGGGTGCCAGGGGGTCATGCTGTCCAGTTTTGGAGTGCTGGGGGGCAGCTGGAGGCAAGTTTGGGGTGCTGGAGTGGGGTATTGGGGTGCTGTGAGGGTCAGAAAGCAGGGTTTGGGCTGCTGTGAGAATAAGGACCATGGCTAGGAGGTTGTGGTGGCATGGAGCAGGGTTTGGGGTGCTGCAGAGGCAGCTGGAGCAGAGCTTTGGGGTGCTGGGGGCTGCCAGGTCCAGGGAAGTTGCAGGCCCAGCAGCACATGCCATTGGTGTCCCAGAGCAGGGAGATAATGGGATTGGGTTTATTGGAGGACATTCTGCAGCTCCTGTGCCATAGCAGCAGTCCCTGCCCTGCTGCAGTGCAGAATCCCTGGATCCAGACCTTGGATCTCTCCTTCCCCCCAGCCTAGAGCCTCTCCCTGGAGTGAGGGTGAGCTGAAGGTTCCTTCTCCCAGCGATACCAACATCAGCACAACTTCTCACTTCAGCACTCACCTCAACACCTACCTGTCTGAGACCTAGAAATCTCCTTTGAGTCTCTACAATTTCCTCTCTTACACAGAGTCCAGGCTGCAGTGGCCTTCATCCTCCCCTCATCCTTCATCCTTCCGCATCCTTCCCTCACCATCCTTCCTTATCCCTTTGTTCTCCCCTTCATCCTTCCCCTGTCCTTGTTTCATTCCTCCCTCATCTTCCCCTTGTCCTCCCTCATCCTCTCATCTTCCTTTTCATCCTCCCCTTCCTCCTCATCCTCCCCTCATTCTCCTTATCTTCCCCTCATGCTCACTTCATCTTCCCCACATCCCTCATCCTTCCCTTGTCCTCCTTTTATTCTCCCTTCATTCTCCCTCAAGCTCCCTGTGCCATCAGCTGCTCCACAAACCACTTCCCAGCATGTTTGCTCCTGCCTGGGTTGCTCCAACCCACACTTACACAACCACCACCTGCTCCTTTTATAACTGCCCGAAATACCAGACTTCATTGCTGTAAAAAAACCTGCACTTTATTCAGATCCTGTTCCTTCTGGAACATGCACCCTAGATATGTGCTGAAGAGAGAAAAGAGCTGGAAGGCAGATGTTGATCCAAGGCCCTGGGAAGACATTGGCAGCTGAGGCTTTCCCTGTCCCTGACTGCACACCACTAGCAAATAAACAGCAGCAAATCTGTGTTGGCTCAGCTCTTTACAGGAGTCTGGGCTGTGTGTGTGAAGATCCAACATGCCAGAAAAGCAGGATGGCTTGTGGGAAGCTGTCTCAATTTTCTGGTGGAAAAGATCTGTGATTCCTCACAAGTGCTATTTTAAAACTGCACATTAGCAGAACTTGTGGGGTTTAACTTAACTGTGCCTAAAACTTCCCTCAACTTCCTTCACCTGACCTAGTTAGGTGCAAAGATGAGATGGCTTAGTCTTCAAAAAGTCAATTAATCAAGCATTGTCCCCCAGAGGAGCTTGGCCTAAGAGATGCTTTCTCAGGGAGAGAAAGGCATCAAAACTAACAAGTAAAGTGTAAAAGCACAAACCTACAGGAGCATGAGGAATACAAACAGCTGCTTTCAACCCTTGTTTCTTACAGGAATGTTTTTGGAACCAGAGGCCTGAGGCATGTCAGGGTGAGCACACCCTGCCCTCACTGACCTCCCGGAGCCCTCAGACCAGGTGGCATCCCTGGAATGATTGGTGAAGGCTACAGAGGGACCTTGGATGGAATTAGCCCATTCCAATTGGGAAAATGAAATAAAAATAAGCCACAAGGAACACCACTCCGTTCTACCACCTTTAAACCTGCTGCAGGAGCTGTGAGACCTCCAGGGCCACCACTGCTCTGCCACACACCCAGCACTGCACACAGCTGCCTGTTTTCAGCCCTGAGACTCATTTTAGCCCTTCATCTTGCTTCAGATTTTAAATCAATGTCCTCTTGGCCTCCAAGGGCTTCTAAAGACACTTTCAGTGTTCAGTTTACGTTGTCAGTGCTGTGAAGTTGGTGGATTTAGGCTGCTTTGGGGGAGTGAGTGGATTCATGGTCCCTTTACAGCCATCCTGTGCTGCTGCTCAGGCTGGAGGACACAGTGTCACTGTCACAGTTACAGCAGGGACAGAAGGCACAGCCAGAATGCAAGGAAACAAAGGGGAAAAAACAAGCTACTTGGATCTAAAGTTAAATGTTCAGCTTTCCTGACATCATCTCTGTTCTATACCCCAGAGGGTTAATGGTCTATTGGATTCAGCCTCTGACTTGGCTGAATGAGCTTATTCAAGAGTCTCTCAGCTGCACTGAGCACCTGACAGTTCTTTTCCCCTCTATTTCAGAGCCAACCCAGCACCAAGAGCACAGTGACTGCCTGAAGCCCAGTTACTGTCTCCCCAGAGCCCAGGGAGGGGCCAAGCCCCCCAGGCACCAGGAGGATCTGCCCTGCCCTGAAAAAGCTTCAGCACGAGTCCTTTATGTACAAGTTAAAGCCCAAAAGGGACAGTACAAAGCTCTATGGGAAACAAGAGGGGACACAGCAAGGTTTACAGCGTTTATATCCCTCTGAACACACCCTAGCTCAGTTGTCCACCTCTTCCTCATCATTTTGCTCTTCTTCCTCCATCCTTTCATCATCATCATCGTTCTCTTCCTCTCGGCTTTTATCCTGCTCCTCTGAGTCTGTCTTCTTGTCCTTGTCTTTCCTTGCTTCTTTCTTCCCCTTCTGCTCACGTCTGTAAACTGAACAAGAGGGAGCAGTGAGGAGTCAGATCTGCTGTCTCCCTGGCATGAACAGGTCAGTGGCTGAGGCCCAACATCCACTTGCTCTCCAGGCTTAAGAGGGGAGCAGGGAACTCAGAGCAGCAACTCACCCTAGGATCTGAGCTGTGCTGAGCAGCTCCATAGGAAATCAGGTTAATTTGCAGCAGAAAACTGCTGAAAAGGATGCAGGAGGTCACATTTACAGGCAGCACCTAGGACTTTCCTTAGATAAACATAATAGGGGAGTGAGGGCAGATGAGACTTTCTCAATCCTCATCAGTTGTGCAATAATGTTATCCCAAGTCCCGTTAAGGTGCACATTAGTTACTCCCCAGGCAAACTGCAGTGTAGGATGCTGGGCAAAGAGAAGAGAAACAAGACAGGCAAGTAAGTGTTGCTTGTCCAGAGTTCGAGGAAAAAAGGATTTGGTGCTCATTAGACTCCCTGGATAAAAGAGAGGACAGTACCTTCCAGGGATTCCTTCAGAGGGCCTACAAATCTCTGGAACTCCATCTCCTCCATGGCAGAGAGCACATCACTAGCATTCAGGGTTTTCCTCTTCCCCTTCATGGCAAAGTTGTTTGCACTAGGCAAAAACAAGAAGGTAAGACTCTTGGTTAGGAACTGCAGGGACAGGACGAGGAGGGACGAATTGCTAGAAGGAAATTTAGATGAGATCTCAGGTAGAAGTTTTTGCTGTGAGGGTGGTGAGACACTGTCCCAGGTTGCCCAGGGAGGCTGTGGCTGCCCCAACCCTGGCAGTGTTGACAGCCAGGTTGGCTAAAGCCTTGAGCCACCTGCTCTGGTGGGAGGTGTCCCTGCCCAGGGCAGGCGGTTTGCATCATCTGTCCATTCCAACCCCTTAACATACTATGAATCAATCTGTCAGACAGAGGTAATTGGGAGCTCTCAACAATTTAGTCTCATTTATTAAAGTGACAAACTTATAAAAAATAAAAACCATCTCATAGACCTTTATCACTTCCTAATGGAGGTTTAAGATTCCTCTTCCTGTGTGAGCTTTCCTGCAGTTAGTTTCTGCTGGCACAGACCTTTTCTACAGCAGGGGAAGGAGAAAAAATCTGTCAGACAGAGGTAATTGGGAGCTCTCAACAATTTAGTCTCATTTATTAAAGTGACAAACTTATAAAAAATAAAAACCATCTCATAGACCTTTATCACTTCCTAATGGAGGTTTAAGATTCCTCTTCCTGTGTGAGCTTTCCTGCAGTTAGTTTCTGCTGGCACAGACCTTTTCTACAGCAGGGGAAGGAGAAAACCTGCACCTTGGCTGTGTCAGCTGCACACAGTCCTCTGAGTACCCCAGAGGAGTGACTGCCTGCACAGCACGTGCTGAGCCCCCACAAAACCCTGTGTCCTCTGGGGCAGCTCCAGGCTGGCTCACGCTTGTCCTAACACAGTGATGTGCTGAGGAGCCTGAAGAGTGAGCCAAGTGCTCCTGCCTTTGCCAGGAAAGGCCATGCAGTCATGTTCTACTGTTAATGGCACTTTGGGACCCTTCTTTTTGGGACATCTCCGTGTCCAGAGCCCAGCTGCCTCCCCACAGGCAGTCCAGACCCACCTGCTGCAGCCTGGCAGCCCAGGCAGTGCTACTGGTTTATAAACACCCAACACAGGAACAACGCTGGGGAAGAGCCTCCAGGCCAGCAGAGAGGTAAAATATCAACCAACTGCACCAGTTACCTGCTGCAGCAAACCCTTACCAGGATGTTGCATAGAGCACAAAGACACTTGCTGCTCGGGATATGGCACTCCGAGCTTCTTTGGAGATATTGACTCCATCAGGAAGCTGGAAAACAAATTCAACTCTTATCAGCAGCTGCTAGAAATGATTTAAACTCGCAGAATTCATGTGTCTGTTCTGTTAAGGCATTCAGAGGGCTCAGATAACTGGGAACTACATGTTGCTCTGGGGTGCTGTCACAGAAGCTCTGTTGGCAGCTGAAGGCAGTGTCTCCTCAAAGGGTTCAAGGCCAGGCTGGATAAAGCTGTGGGCAACCTGTTTTGGTGGGACATGTCCCTGCCCAGGGCAGGGGGCTGGGGCTGGATGATCTCTGAGGTCCATTCCAACCCCTGAACATTCTGTGAATTAATCTATAAGACAGAGCTGAGCAGAAACTGACTCCTGGGTTGGTGTAACTCATGCAGTGACTTCACACACCAACCCCTCTGCCAGAACCACATCCACACAGTGACATCTCACAGCTCAAACACATAACTAAACCAATCCCTGGGAATTATTTTTATACAGACAAGGACTTCTGCTCTGAGTGTTCGGGGGGACCTGGTTGTGACAGTCCCACTGCAGGAGCTGCCCTGCTGCTGGGCTGTACTTGGAGCATCCCGTGGCACACTGCTGCGGGATGCTGTGCCCAGGCTGTGCCCCCCGGGCACCCGGCAGGACACAGTGCCAGCACAGCTCGGGGACAGGGACCGGAGCCCTCCCGGGGGCACCCACCGCCTCCTTGATGATGCGGGTGATGACAGCGTTGGGCAGGTTCAGGTCCTCCGGCCTCTCTGCCATCCTGTGCCTCCTGCAAGGCAAACGGGGGGTCAGGGG